AATTATAATCTTCACCTGTTTTTTGCAGAATGGTTCCAATCTATACAGCAAACATAACTCTCCTTGGAACAGGTATCTTATCTAAAACCAAACAACTGACATTGGCAAAGAAAGATGATGGGATAGCATTCCCTAATGATAGAGCAACCAGCATCAGACCTGCTAATAGAGATCAGAAAGTCAAGTAATAATATTTCATTTAAATTTGTGTAAAATGAGTAAAATTAATTTAGTAAACATTTTTGGGGTGTTTCACGATAAAGACTATAACGAACAAGGCTGGATGCACAAATAAAAAACGTTGCTACTTTCATCCCTTTTAAGAGGATATTTTGAGTTCAACTTGGTGTGTATTTCCTTAACTAATATTGTAATTAATGTAATAMACATTTGATTCAGTTTCAATTCCATTATGAATCGCTCAGTTAGAAACTAATGCAATTCATTGTCATGTACACTAGAGCAGAAGGAAATGGAGCATTCAGCCATTATCTTGAGAACGAATAGGAAGAAAAAAGGAATGATAGAAATGGGATGGAAATAAAATAGAATTAATTTTCATGAGTAATTTGTACAATGTAATTATGTTGCAGTCTTGCCATAATACTTGACAATACAGTATTTTTCCTGTTATTATTGGAATCTTCTTTTTTTCTATTACAGGACACTTTTCACTGGAATTGAAAGATATTCMTATGTGGATCCAGACTATGCTTACACTGATGAAGAAGAAAGACATAGAGAACAACATAAAAGATATTATCTTAATTTCATTGATGATTTAAGATTAAAGAGGAAAAAAGAACAAAAGAAAAGGTAGCATGAAGTACCAAACTAAGCAATTGCAGTTTGTAATTAAGATGTTTTTTGTTGTTGTTCTTATTCCAGGGAGTTTGAAGCACTGAACAATAATGTTGACATAGGCATCAAATCAGCCAAAGGGCTCAMACCACCAAAGCTCTCTGTGAAAGCAATCACACCACCGCCTAAAGGTTATTAAGTAATCTTTGTATRCCACTTTTGTTAAAAATATAAGTTCAAGGGGGACTATATGTTGCAAAAATCACTAAACATTTGAAATAATTACATCCAAGTGTGGCAGAGTGAATGTTCGTTTATATTGGTGTAGAATTGTTTATTTCAACAAAGAC